GACCTACACAGTCTCCCTCACATTCCCTGTAAAATGAGATCTAATGTTTAAAGTTGATTTTTGCACAGTTTGTTTAATTTTGAACTTCTTATCTTCTGCTAAGTTTATAGCCTAACAGAGACTCCTGTGTGGGCTAAGGTTTAATCAGAGGAGGAGTCAATTCAAAAACGAAAAAAAAACAACTACTTGGTAAAATTGGTAGTCTTACTTGTGGCTTGTCATTATGGCCTGCTTGTGTATAAGGTCTTTCCTCCTCTGGATGTGCAGTTTGCGGTCGTATTTTAGAATTTTCTTCATCCATTTCAAGATCTGTATGCTCAAATGTGTTGTCAAATGTTTCATCATAGACAGATATTGCTTGAAGAATCTCATCATCAGTTGTGAACAATATAGTATCTCCAAACTGTTCCATGCCTAAATATTATAATATACTTCATGAAAATATTAATTAAGAAACACAGAATACATTAAATGTATTGTACAATAAAACTAACTATGAAAATAAAATATTGCATGTAATAAGAAATAAACAAAAATAAAAACATTTCTTCAACTTAAGTGTAAGACAATGGAGTTTCTTTTTCTATGGACTTACAATTATATCTGACAAATTATTTGTAGGGATCAATTAAAAATGGTCTAAAATGTGTGAAAAAGGTTTTTCTTTGTCTTTAAGAGGAACTGTTAAAAAAAAGCAAATTTCACTTTTTTTGGTTACACCACCTCTTCTCATTGAGCTGCAATAGAATGTCTGTAATTGGACAGCCACAGAAAGTCTGGGCTGGGAAAGAAGGGGGAAGTTTGCAAAAGTAGCAGACAAGAGAACTGCAGATTTTGCAAGCTATTTTCTTTTAGACATACCCCCAATGAAAAAAAAAAAAAAAAAAGAATAATTAAAAGCTTGCATGTTTTCATTTTGGGCATGTCTATTAAGCATTGGTTTTTCTGTATTTTGTATTTGGGCAGTAGAGTGTCCCTTTAATCCCTTACTCCAGTTAACAATACTGAAGCATTTCTTGGTAATCCACTTACATATAGATACTTTTGTCTTGCAGATACAACCATAGAAAGTGTTAAAGTATTATAACATATTATATATAATGAAATCAGGAATTCTTTGCTTAAACTCCTACTTAAACAATAATGTGTGCATGTGCCCCTGAGAGGGATTGACTGGCATGGATGCCTTTAAACTGACACTCCCCTTTCGCAGGACCCACCAATGTGCAATTGATATGTCACCTTGAGCCCTGCTGCCTTTTTGTCCCATTTTCATACACCCAACTGTTTTGAGATATGCAGTAAATAATAGTGTTTAATGAGGTAAAGGAACAGTCATTTAGTAGACAGCTGCAATAAAACAGGATCTGGAAAGGTCAGATTGGCTGCAGGTAGATGTGGTTCCTATATTCAAGATGTGGTTCCTATATTCAAAAAGGGTTCAAAATCCTTGCCTGGAAATTATAGACCTGTGAGCTTAACTTCTGTGGCTGGTAAAATATTTGAAAGTTTATTAAGGGATAATATTCAAGAATTCCTTGAGAAGAACATGGTTATCAGCAAAAATCAGCATGGTTTTATGAAGCACAGGTCATGTCAAACTAACTTGATTGCGTTCTACGAAGAAGTAAGTAGAAGTATAGATCAGGGTGTTGCCGTGGATGTGATCTATTTGGATTTTGCCAAGGCATTTGATACAATTCCACACAATAGATTAGTGTTCAAACTCAAGGAAATCGGTCTAGATGAAAATGCTTGTTCTTGGGTAGAACATTGGCTTAAAAACAGAGTACAAAGAGTTGTCATTAATGGTAAATTTTCAAGCTGGACAGAGGTGGCAAGTGGTGTCCCTCAGGGGTCTGTTCTGGGACCCCTTCTATTTAACATGTTTATAAATGATCTTGAAGACCGCATTGAAAGTCATGTTTCAGTGTTTGCAGATGACACAAAACTTTGTAAAACAATACAATGTGAGCAAGATATTACTTTGCTGCAGAGGGATTTAGATAGACTGGGAGACTGGGCACTCAAATGGCAGATGAAATTTAATGTTGAAAAATGCAAAGTTATGCACTTCGGCGTAAAGAATACACAAGCAACGTATACCCTTAATGGAAGCGAATTAGGGATAACAACACATGAAAAGGACTTGGGAATTGTTATAGACAACAAACTATGCAACAATGTGCAATGTCAATCAGCAGTGGCCAAGGCCAGTAAGGTATTGTCATGCATGAAAAAGGGCATTCATTCTCGGGACAAGAATATAATTTTGCCTCTTTATAAATCACTGGTAAGACCCATATTGAATATGCTGTGCAATTTTGGGCACCTGTTCTAAAGAAGGATATTACGGCACTAGAAAAAGTGCAGAGGCGGGCTACAAAATTAATAAAAGGAATGGAACATATCAGCTATGAAGAAAGGTTAACAAATTTAAACCTATTTAGTTTAGAAAAACGTCGCCTGAGAGGGATATGATAACATTATACAAATATATTCGGGGCCAATACAAACCATTGTGTGGAAATCTATTCACAAACCGGACTTTACATAGGACACGAGGCCATGCGTTTAGACTGGAAGAAAGAAGATTTCGTCTAAGGCAAAGGAAAGGTTTTTTTACTGTAAGAACAATCAGGATGTGGAATTCTCTGCCTGAAGAAGTGGTTTTATCAGAGTCCATACAGATGTTCAAACGGCTACTAGATGCATACTTGCAAGAACAGAATATTCAAGGATATAATCTTTCAATGTAGGGTAATAACTGCTTGATCCAAGGATAAATCTGACTGCCATTCTGGGGTCAAGAAGGAATTTTTTTCCTAGCTTGTTGCAAAATTGTGCTTCAAACTGGTTTTTTTTGCCTTCTTTTGGATCAACAGCAAAAAACAAATGTGAGGAAGGCTGAACTTGATGGACGCAAGTCTCTTTTCAGCTATGTAACTATGTAACTATGTAACTATGCCTGGGTTGTCAGGCAGTCACTCCGATTGATGCAAAAATATAATCAGCAGAAAAATAAAAAGAAAGGGGACCACCAATAGCATAATCTGTAAAACACCATATATACAAAAACTGGGGAGTTATACAATAACATAATATACAAATATATGCAAAGAGAAAACCTTTTAAAACATAAAATAAAAGAACAAAAAGAAGACAATAAGACTGTACCGATTATTTTTAACTATAGTTCTCATAGCAATCAATTGCAAAAAATTATAAAGAGAAATTGGCATATTTTAGAACAGGATCAAGATATTCATCCGTATTTGGGAATTCAACCTAAAGTGATTTTTAGAGGTGCGAAAAATATTAAGCAAGTTTTAACTTCAAGTTTTATAGATAAAGAAAGAAATCCGCAAATTTCATCTATGTTTAAGAAAGAAAAAGGCTTCTACTATTGTGGAGCATGTAGAGGTTGTATTTTGAGAAAAAATAAGAATAAAAATGTTACTAAGTTTACTTCTTTTCAGAACAAGAAAATACATGAGATAAAATCTTTTATAACATGTAATTCAAAAAATGTGATTTATATGATAGTTTGTCCCTGTGGTTTACAGTATATTGGGAAAACGTCTAGATTATTAAAGATAAGAATTAGGGAACATATCTATAATATTAATAGAAAATTTACTCTACATAATGTTTCTAAACATTTTTTGGAAGTTCATGGAGGAAATATTAATGGATTTGAATTTTTAGGAATAGAGGCTGTGAAGACTCATTGGAGAGGGGGTGATATAGAGAGCCTCCTCAGTAAAAGTGAGATGAAGTGGATTTTTAATATAGAGTCACTGTCCCCAAATGGTTTGAATATTGATTTTGAGATTAATTCATGCATATAGCTTTTATGCAATTTATTAATATTTGTGATCTGTTATGATTATTTTATTTGTTTTTTATTGGATTTTTATTATGTGTTTTATTATAATCCATATGTTCTTTAAAGGATATACTGTTTATAAATGTATATATTTGCTATTAAGATTATTTTTAAAGTTTATTTAAGATTTTAAATATATGTGTTTTATTCCCCCTCTTTTTAGTAGGTTGGGAGTGCCTCTTTTTGGATTTGTCTTGATAGGGTTAATTCTGAATATTTGTTATTGATGATATGTTTTATTTTTACTAATATGCAGAGTATGTATGTATAAATGTGCAAGAGACTGGCATTATGGTTTAAAACTGACTTTTCAAAATGGCGCCGATAACACTTCCGGTTTCGGCAACCGGAAAATATTAAGTTGCCTGTTAATATGTAGAAGTATATATGTATAAATGTGTAAGAGACTGGCACTATGATTTAAAAGGACTTCTCAAAATGGTGCCGAGAATACTTCCGGTTTCGGCAACCGGAAAACGTCATGACGTTGATGACGTAAATGAAAACGTCGAGACGTAATGAAGGCCGCAGACGCAGTTTGATGACGAAGGCAGAAGTTAGAGGGGAACGCCGAAAAAGGGCGCTAAGGTTTGAAATATAAGGAAGAAGATGGAGATGATGAAACCAGACCACTTGAGAAAGGCTGATACTGCCGAAACGCGTCGTGGTATATTATAAGGACATTTTACTTGTATCTAATATATGTAGTTATTTTTTAACAATAAAATCAGTTTGTATTGGATCCTGCCTTTTGGAGTGATTCTAAAGAAGTGCTTCCAGTGCAGATTCATTGGGATTGATACAGGACATCCAGAATTGAATAATTCTCATCTCCATACAAGCCTTAAGTCTGAGTCAGCTTTTTAAGTGACTCAGAAATATGTGAGTTTAACCAGTCACATGAAAACATTTGCATATATTTTAAACAATACTACTCTATGTTTTTATGTTTTATGTTTTTAGATATTTCATCAAACAAGTTCTGGTAAAATACTGTATTTGCATGTATTGAGCGCTCTCACCACAATTTTATTTTTTGTAAAACACCATATATTTACTAGGAGATGTACATGCCTTGAACGCCGGGTGCCAGGCCAGGGTCATCAAAATACAAAAATCAAAGTGATGGTCCGCACTCACGGTCTTCTTAAAATGTAACTTTTATTATTTACATAAAAGTACAGGTGACGAAAAAGAGAACTAATGAAGAGAATGAAGAGACAAATTAATGTAATAAAACTCTCAATATGCCAGAAAGGAATATAGAGATATGCACAACAAATACATGATTATAATGTCCAGATTGTTATAAGTTCATCACTTCACACATAATCAGCAGTTACATAGTATCTAAAATTATTATAAATTGATGATTTCGTTTGGCTAATATAGTATCTAAAGTTGTTATAAGTTGATGATTTCGATTGACTAAATTGTTGCAAATAGATGATTTCAACTGCAGTGCAATATATGTACTATCTATAAGAGGTAGACAGGAACAAAGATTAATTAAATTCCCAATGTTAG